GTTGACATCATTTAGTGATAAGAGCTATTTACAAAAGAGTAACACGTATAACTTAATAAATACATAACTTGCATTTAAAGACCACACAAGTATGATGTAATCATGGATAGATACGTTAAACTGAAAATACTTAGCATGTTTAGTGAAGATTAAATAATGACAAAAACATGGTAACTCTATAATCACTGACAAGTTCAAGAACTTAAGTTTAAAATATACATTCTTTGTGAATAGTATAAAGATTGTTTGATTATTCAAACGGATATAGGCTAAATAGAGTTTGAGTCTATAAGTTAATATAAGACCCCAACAAAATCAAACCAACAGGAGATACAACCAAAACAAAGAAGTAAACAGTGATAAGTAAATGGTTAAAAATAACCAATCAAAAATTGAGGTCTATAGGACAAGTTGTAAGCTATATGTGAAGAAATTCGACTACTTCACTCCTACCTGATGTATGTGCTGATGATGTCATTCAGAAGAACGACAACATTCAAGAGTAATAGTAATGATGATAATACCTATTTATACCAGGAAATAGATTTGTACTAAGTCATATTATAAAGCGTATTAAAAGTGTATACTAATAAATATTATGAAATAGGATATAGTGATTAGAACAGGAGAAGTTTAAGAATAGAAGAACATGAAGTCTAGGAATGAACTTGTTCATTAGTTCAACATATTGTCGGTCAGTAAGCTACAACGTAGGATCAGGCACATACATGCATCAGTCCAAGTTGCCATACCTCATTAGCACAACAAGATAAACACTGAATTCATAGAAGTAGTTGATTCAATGGTGGTAATATACAAGAGAAAGATTGCGTATAAGGATATAGTACAGGAAGAAAGGATTAATTCGTAGAAAGAAAGATATAAAACACTTTTGATCTCATGGCTTAAGGGAGGATAAATAGTGTATACACCGACGTCATTGTGATCGATTTTGAGCCATGTCACCCACAGTCTCCAACCATTGGTTACGATAGTCACGCGAACCTCAACCAGATAGTCTGCATCTATCAACATGGCTAAGACTAGAAATTAGTGACTTCAAGGATTGATGCCACGTTTTTAGTTAGTTGGACATACTGTTGACTACTAATTGTATTCTAATCAACAGGTGCATGCTTTCTAGTTATGATTTACATCAAGTTTAAAATCTTTGATTTAAGATGTTAAATAATATACCACAAAATTTCGGCCAGTATTACAGGCACATATACCCTTGTCTATCTTTTTGTATATATTCAACATTTATATCATTTCATACAAGCACTAATACAATTACATTCACTTGATATTGTTTTACTTGAATTATTTCATTGATGTTTAGGACTGCAATTGATCAGTCTCTTGTTGGCATATTGTGTGTATTGCCTCAATATTGCCAATAAGACACTGATCAATTTCAACTTCACCCTTTTTATACAAGCAAGTGTCTATCAGGATTTAGTAGCTAAGAGGATAACGCGATGGCGTATGAAGCCAAATAGTATTGGGTTCAACTCCCAGATTGAACATTAACTCTTAGATGCAAGTACATCCAACCGACGAGTCCTAAATAGGACGAAACATACGTCCTGGATTCCATTACTAATCACTATTTATCTTTGTTACTATTATTCAAGCTTCGTTATTCTTCACATTGTTAATTTCCTGATGTAAATTGTAACGACGATCATATATTAGTATATTTCTATTAGGATCTACTGACTGACTGACTAACTGATCATTCAATATCGAATTAAGGTATACTTTATTCTTATTCAAATTAAACGAAGATAACATCTTAATGACCATAGAAATAAATCACTTTAATTCTAACAATTAATATAAATATTTACATATAACCACAACATTTACACATTCTAGGTCAAACTGCTCTCTTTCTCTCTCTCTCTCTCTCTCTTATAATTATAATTACTGAGTTATCATAGATTAAAATATTCAATGTTAAGTCTTAGTGATTATTCGGTTATGGTATCACGTATAGCTGTGACCAAGGCTCACTGTGACCAAGGCTCACTTTTATTATTATTACTATTGGTGATGATAATGATAATGAGTCACCATATGATGCAGGTAGTATTGAAAGTTCAAAAAAAAAAAGGTATTAAAGAACAAATATTTATCAATATAGAGTTGTGGTGATTGTTAAAGTTTTTAATTAAGATCATGAAATCGATGAATGTTAGACAATCATGTTTCGTCCTAGTATTGAACTGCTTCAACAATACACATTCATGATTCTGTACTCAAGAACTTTGATTTAGATGCGAGAATGTTTAACCTCTAAACTACTGAATTGATGTTAATAATGTCTAAATTCAATTGATTCATGATTTTATACAACCATTCATCTATACCTGTCTCTATCGAATATGGATTAACTCCAATGGTTGTGACTTTTCATTATAATTTCGAGAATTATCTATCACAAAACCAATCACTCATGAGTATATACTGACGAGTCTCAAATTAGGACGAAACGGTCATTCAGTGATTGCAGGTTTTCAATGGTAGCCTAATACTCATCGATTTTTTTTTTGTTAAATTAGTTAGACCTGAAATGTTCATAACTAAAAAGTGTATTCGTTAAATGATATTAATAAGTATCATTAACTTCTTTTAAATTCATAGGCTCCTTTATTATCCTATAATCATACATATCGTGGATACGTACTGTCGAGGAGTCCCACATTAAGACGAAACAGCCATCCAGTGCTTCCAGGTTTCCAACGGTGATTTAACATCAATCGGTTCATGATCTCAATCAACAAATTATTAATCTCCACAATCCCTATACTGATATCTACATATATCAACACTGATTATTGATTTCAGACAGTATCTGTGGATCAGATAGTTTATTTTTTATACAATTTTCGAATAAGTCATAATTCATTTTATAGATCTAGTTCATTCTGTGATGGTTAATGTTTGTTTGAACTGATCTGTAATTATAATGGATAGGATTGAAATAAGGTTTCAGAGTCTATAGAGAAATACACAATAGTTTACTTGGACTTGTTCAAATACCAAATAAAACTTAATCGGAATTGTAGTTTAATTAATAAAACTAAAGTGATAAACTATAAAATCTACTCTAATCATGACTATATAGATGACAGAATTAATGGAAGTAATCTTCTTCATGGATCAACATCAATCAAAGAGCTAGTAAAGATTAAATACGTTTAATTTGTTTGTTATCAGATTGTTGAAGGGAAGTCAAAACTAATAATTATATGGTATGGTTTTTTTCACTTGAAAGGTTTGACGAAACTAAATCGGGGTGATTTTGAATAAACACATCAAATTCACTAAGATTATAGCTATATGTCTTGTTGATAAAGGTCAATCAACAGAGTTTCCTAATCAGTATATCTAACTGTTTAATATCTCTTGAAGTAAACTACAACATACATTGTTATTCAGTTTTCCTCTATGGAATACCATAAAAAAATTCAACAAATTATCCGAGTAGATAGATACTAACCAATTATTTTTGATGAAAGATTAACATGAGAATGAATTTTTAAAGCTGAAATCCATTGCACAGTCAATCAGTCTGTTACAATGTAGAACCAGGCACATATATGCATCAGTCCAAGTTGCCATACCTCATTAGCGCAACAAAATGAACACCGAATTCATAGAAGTAGTAATATACAAAGAAAAGATTGGGTATAGGGATATAATATTAGAGAAAAAAGAATTAGTTCGTAGAAAGAAAGATATGAAGCGATTTTAATCTAACTGTTTAATGGAAGACAGAGAATGTATACACCTATGTCATTGTGATCGATTCTGAGCCATGTCACAACACAACATAAACCATAGAATATCAACTGATTATTTATTATTTTAATGAGACAGTTCATGTTTAGCTTCTCCAAAAGATAAAATCCAAGAAACGTATCGCAAATATATCACCATCTTAAATCAATGAATGAAATTCATCCGTAGAAAAAAAAACAATCAGGAGCTCTAACAATAACTTGAATTGATGTAACTCTTCACTTATAAGTAAAGTTAATTATGTAGACATTAATTGTCATAGCAACTAGATGAGGGGTGGTGGTGGAGAAGTAATATTTTACACATATATTTCCCTTTATCATTTTGAAAAGAGCAAAAATAAAGATACTAACAAAAATAGCATGAATTCATTTTATTTCGTTGGTTCTCGTCAACTGTTGACAATATGAAAGTATTTAGTCGGAAGTTATATTGAAGACATATTACACAATTGTTATACTAATAGGTTTTCAACATAAATTCTAACTAAACACTTTCATATTATAAGCAACTGACAAGAATCAACGGAATAAAATGAATCTTTATTCTTACTCTTTTCAAGCGTCCAAATGGGACAGATTATATAATACTGTAAAATATATGAGTTATACTTTATTTTATTTTATTATTTTATTTAAACACATAAATATTGGTACAAGATGGCACCAAATATATATGCGCCACACAAAAGCCATTTTCATTTTATTTGTGTGTGGGCTATGATACTGCCAAGGTGCCCAAACAGAAACAGATGGTTTTCTTAGGTGGCCACTCCCCGATCCTTCGACCTGAAGGTCTGATCCACAAGGCAGTGGAACATCGTAAGGAGATGCAGTCCCATGGCAGCCGGTGACCAACGATTGATTTATACGCCATTTGTTCCCGCAGGATACTGGAGCCCATGTGCACCATTGGTTTGGAATCCGGTTAAAGCGCCGGACATTCGCTTTTCGTCCTCTCAATTTCTTAAAAAACACCCCCGCCACGACAAGGCAGTGAGTAGGACTTCCCTGGCAGAGGCTGTATACGCGTGGCAGTGTTAGAGCATTTCGAGAGTTATATATATTACTATCATACTATATATATATATATATATATATATATATACATATATATATATATATATATATATATATATATATATATATATATATGTCTCAGTAATACAATTGATCACATAAACAACTAACCATTTAAAGTGATTTTTTGTCCTGGTGCATATTTTATTGCCATAGCAATTAATGCAATATAAGAATATGGTGGTTTCGATGGGAATAAACATGAATTATTATTATTATTATTATTATTATTATTATTATTATTATTAACTTGTAAATTTCTCATTATACGATCCATATTCCCTTCAATTGATTGTGATTCTATATTCAATACTGAATGATTATTATTATTATTATTATTATTATTATTATTATGAATAGGTTCATTATTAGTAGTTATATGATAAACATCTTTATTATCATTATAATTATCTTCATAATGATTCAATGTACATAGATTAGACCAATCTTGATCATTATTAATAGTATTGATATTTATTGAATTATGATTCATTAATTGATCATATATCATTGATAAATTATCATTTGATGTAGATAATTTAATATAATTTAATAAAGTTTTTATAATGATTAATTTATATTGTTCATTGAATATATTCCAATTAGATATAATAAATTGAATAAAATCAATATTATTTTTAGAATAATTTTGTTTTATATAATAATTTATAATATGATGTAATAATTCTAATGATAATTCATTTGATAATAAATGATTATTAACATGTTCGGTTATTGATTTATGATTAATATTGATATTTTTAATAGAATTTTCTTCATTCATGATTGTTTATTGATTATTAATAATGATAATAATCAATAATAATAATAATAATAATAATAATAATAATTTTTATGTATATTATAATGTAATCAATGATGTTCCAGTTGACATTTAGTTAGATATATCATTTATATATAATAAAAAATTGTTGATATATACATGTTCTTTTATATTTAAATCAAATGATATATACCGCGAAATTTTTTTTTTACATTTTTCATTAGCCAATCAGATTAGAAAAAGAATTATTTATTATGAATTGACCAATAGGATTTTCGTATGTAATAAAAATATCTAACCAATCAGAATGATGATACATAGAAATAGATATGAGAAATGATCTTGATGATAAACCAATGAGATTAGGGGAGTGTTTTGTTGTTGTTGTTGTTGTTGTTGTTGTTGTTGTGTTTTTTATTATGGAGATTGTAGTGATTATGAAGAGTTGAATTCATGGAGTTAATTAAAAGTGGACTATTATTGGAAAATTTGAAAGTAGTAGATGAATGTTTCATCTTAGTATAGGATTGATGAATAATGTGAATCTATGAGTTTGCTTATGTGGTTCGAATCCAGGACCGTTGATCTCGCAAATATGAATGCTTACTTTCTATATGTACATTGTTGAAAAGTTTTATACTAGAACGAAATGACTGTTCAGTGCTTTTCAGGTTTTTCATGATGATCTAGCTTTAATGAATTCATGAATTCAACTACTAGATAAAGAAAGAGATGTGTTTATCTGATTTGTGTATAAGTGTAAGGTTGGTTTATAATGTAAATTTTTTTCCTATTAGATAAAAATAAAGAGAATTCAGTGAAGAAACTTCTCTTTTCGACAAAATCATTTACTTAAGCTGTACATTCATAGTTATAGTTGTTTGGTAAATATATTTGTCTATAGAAAGATAGGAAAGATTACATCATAAATTGATTCGAGACTCTTATTATCAAATGAGGTTACACAATAATCAAGAAGTAAGAGGAGAATATAGAGAGGACTGTTGTAATCAATAGGTAAACACAATACCTACAATTAGTCGATTACTCACAAAAGAGCATAAATCTTAATTATCTGATCTTCGGAGAAATCAGGATTTAGTGTTGTGTCGCCCAGACGACGGTGCAGGAATTATCCTTACGGATCATATTAATTATATTCGATATTAACTTATCCTGTTTAATTCTCCAAAGAAACCATTCAACAGGATACAATTGAGAAAACGTAACAGATGTTAATTTAAATCCTAAGGAAGATGAATTTATTATTAATTGTCACCTGTATGAACATCTTAAATCATCGGGTTCCGTCATACAAAGACTGCATGGACTCCCAAAAGTTCATAAGAATGTCACTTTACGTCATATATTTAATATAAATAACTTTCCATATCACCTGATTGCTAAATGGTTAGCTGATATTTTACAACCCGTTAAAAATCACATTAATCGACACAACTCTGTTGATTCCTTTGACTTTCTCGACTCAATTAAAAAATATCAATGTACATGGGGAGGAAATGATCTCATCGGATGTCACTTCTCTCTTTATAAATGTTCCTCTCACAGAAATTGTTTTTGTGTGATTATATTGAAAATAATGACCTTGATATTTGTATCCCAAAACATTATCTAAAAGAGCTACTTCTATAGACAAACAAATGGAGTTGCAATGGGTTCTTCATTGGATCGCCTCTTGGTTGATTGTTTCATGGGGAATCCGGGTTGTCGTTATCCGTTGAAAGCGGCATGCAGTGCGATGAGTGCAAAGGCTAGTACCACGAAGTTTGCACGAATTTAACGCCTGCAGCTTTCAAAATGTTCAGTAAAAAAGGCTTCGTTTGGCTTTGTCAACAGTGCTGTTCGGATGCAAACAGCTTGTTAACCGAGGCCATCTCACTGCTAGATGCTGCAAAAAGGTGTTTTAGCAAGCGTAGTCGAGACACATCAAACAGCACTCGCTCTATCGACACGCAAATTGATATGAAGCAAACTCAGGTGAGTTCGAAAATAGGTGACTCACACCGATCAAAGAAGGAAAAACAGTATCCAAAGAGGTCTGTCTTAAACAAAAACTCAAGAAAAGAAGGCTCTTCTGTTTCCCGTCTTCCAAATGGCATTCAGCAGGAAACGCCTAGAAGCCTCAATCGCAAGGCTCGATTGGTTTTTAGCGCAAAACATAACCTGACCTACAAGGTCGTCGATAACCCTCAGGAATCCAACAGTAGGTTTAACGCAACTGTTGTTGCTTCTCCTAGCACCGTTGACGAATGGATACAGGTTGTAAGGAAGAAACAACGTAGCGATATAAAAGGGACTCCTGCCCCCGTAAAAGTAGTCGGAAAATCGAAAGCTAATCACAGCGACAGGCCAGTTATTTGTCATAGAATCAAGGAGAGTGAGAGCTCTGAAGCAAAAGCTCGTTTTGAGCATGATATTGTGCTGATTAAGCAGCTGCTTAATCAACTCATGTCTCAAAATATCACCGGGGTCACCTTGCTAAAGGTGTATAGACTAGGGAGTCTAGCGAACTTGAAACCAAATCAATCCAGACTGCTTAAAGTAGTATTCAAATCTTTGAATGAACGTGACCTAATTTTACAGAATGGACACAAATTAAAGGGTTGAGGAGCTTTTATCCGTATGGACTTATCATTGGCAGACCGTGTAAAAAGACGGGAAGCCGAAAAAGAACTACAGCTTAGGTTAGGCGCTGACGAAAAGGACCTGAAAATTGTAAATTTTGGGGTTGTAAGGCTTCGACAGAGAATGATGCCGAAGCCACTCTGGGTGAAGCACGAAGCCACTTAAATAGGCTTCGGATCTGTTACACTAATGCCCGAAGCTTACTTAATAAGCGATCGGAACTAGGTGTACAGATTGACTCTACAAAGCCAGACATAATCGCAGTTACAGAAACCTGGATGACACAGGCTATAGATAGTATGGAACTTGATTTCGAGGACTTTACGTTAGTAAGGGCCGACAGAATACAAAAGCGTAAAGGAGGGGGAGTAGCTCTATTCATTAGGAATGCTATTCCATTTGCCATTATCGACAGTGTATCGCATGAGAGTGGGATGATGTCAAGATATGGAGAACGATACGATGTGAGGGTGATAGCTTAGAACTCCAAAATGACCTGAAGAAATTCTCTGAGTGGTCTCAAACCTGGCAGTTGCCGATAAATACTTCCAAGTGTGTTGTGATGCACATCGGTCATTAAGGTACAGATACATACACGATGAATAACACTGAGCTACCTGTCGTCCAGACACACAATGACTTAGGAGTCATCGTTAGCCAAGACTTAAAGACTACTGCACACTGCCGTGCAATAGGCGCCAAAGGTTTTAGAACCTTATGGTCAATACGTGGGGCTTTTAGTCATGTCGACGCTAAGACGTTTTTGACATTGTATACAGTGTTCGTTCGTCCTAAACTTGAGTACTGCATACAAGCGGCTAGCCCCTACTTAAAAAAAGACAGTGAGCTTCTGGAAAAGGTTCAGAGTACGGCAACTAAGCTGATTCCCGGAATAGCGAAGCTTCCGTATGAAGCTCGACTGGCCAAACTGAACCTTTTCCCGTCGTCATATCGCAGAACTAGAGGCAACTTCATTACAGTTTTCAAATTGCTTAGTGCCAAATTTGCACCTGATATGCCCTCATTTTTCTTGTCTTCCAAAACAGAGAATTTACGAGGACACTCCAAAAAAGTTCACAAGCCAAGAACAAATTACTTGTCAGCTGACTATCGACTTTTTCATCGAATCATCAACGAGTGGAATTCATTACCTCAGCACGTGGTTGAGGCTCCATCCGTCGACTCTTTCAAAAGAAAGTTGGATCAATTGAGAGACCACCATTACCAGGACTAACACAGGCCATCAAGTCTCCTGTCCTTCCCAAACTGAAACTGAAACTGAATTTAGAATATAAGGGAACCTCGACCAATAATTGAAAGATTTCATTTACATAAGAGATACATGGATGACACTCATTATTTTTTAAGATATAGGCCTCAATGAAATTTTGAATAGTTTCAGTAATTTTCACTGCTCAATTCAGTTAGCGTTGGAGGCAGAGGCAAACGACGATTTCATTTTCTTGATTTCCGATTGAAAAGAAGGTCAGATGGCTTTCTACAGAGATCAATACATAGAAAACCGACCTGGAATGGTCAGTACATGAATTTCCACAGCTAGGTTCCATTGAATAGGAGGTGGAACTTGATTCACTCTTTATCCTCTAGGATCAAGCGAATCTGTTCCACTGACACAACAGATTTCGAATATTTCGACTTCAACAGACTCTCATTACGAACGGTTATCCACCTAGATTCGTCGATAGCAGCTTAACACCTAAACTTCATTTTGAAAAAGCGTCGACAGATCGGAAGAAAACTTTGTTTATGAATGTGGAATCTAAAGAAGACACGGCTTCTGAAATCTTATATAGACGGATTTCAAAATCGTTGAATAAAACGTTCTACTCAGCTAAGCTCTGAATCGTTTTCTCAAGCTGGCCTAATATTCACGGATGTGTTGAGGGTAAACTTGCGCTTTGGGCCACATCAATGTACATCTATAAATTTACTTGCTCATGTGGGGCATGTTACATAGGCCGCACAAAGTGGTCACTTCCCAAACACATCTCAGAATACTACGTGGCATGGCTTTTAAAAGGAGAATACAAAACAATCACTAGTTCAATACAGGAGCATTTAATAAAGTGCGGACACATCACTCTAGAGGATTCCTCTTTTAAGACAATCTACAGAGTCCAAGGAATTGGATCAATGGGGTGTCAAATCAATATTTTATGCACGTCTGAGGCATTGACAATCCACGAACTCAAGCTCGAACTTTGCGAGCAGAAACAATACTTCCAACTTCTCATCATTCCTTGGCTCTAATTCCCTTCATGGGTTTGTTTCTGGGTATTTTTTTCTTTCTTTCGACATTTTTGTTTGATTATTATTGAATTTTTTCAAATTAT